GGACCGGGGCTCGCCCCTGCCGCCCTCGCACGGGGCCGGCCTCGGCGGTCGGCCGGGAGGGAAGCCGCGCGCAGCGGCGCTGTGCAGGCTTGCTCGGTTAGATGCCCGGGTTCAGACCTGCGCATCGCCCCAGGGTCACCCTCTAATTAATGATGACGTCCTCGCCCTCTCCCCAGCTGCAAGCCTGCCTCCCAGAAACGAAATCTGCCCGCGCTGACAGCTCGGTTGAAGGTGATTGATGACTATCTGGAGCGCGCCGCACACATCATATAATATCTGCTGCGTAATTGCCTTAATTCACAGATGAAAACGCGAGCTCTCCGGTCGCCGGACCGCGGCCGGCCACGTCCGAGCGTCGCGCAAAGGGAAACCTTCGGAAATAATGAATAGCCGCCCCATGCAAATTATTCAGACAGTTTAGCGTCGGTAGCCGCGAGAGATGGGGAAGGAACACGAGTCAAATGACATTAATAATTGTTTCTGAATTCTGTATTGATTTCGTGGCAGGCCGTGTTTCTTTCTTTCTCACCTGAATCGCTAATATCACCTTCCTGTAAATAATAAGAAACTAGCCACCGGGGCTTCTCGGGCAGAAATGAACCTCCCAGCCCCCTCCCGCGCCTCCCCGCCCCCACCGGCCCCCGCCCCCGGCCCGCTTCTTTCAGTTTTCCGGCTTTTGCTGCGGCTTTTGCTAACACCCTTCCCTTTCCATTATTTATTGTTTACAAACAACTCGCTCTCTCCGGGTAATGAGGCGGGAGGGAGGGGCGCGGGCGGAGGGCGGTGGAGGGCGGCCGCAGGCGCGAGGGAGCCGCGGCGCGGCGGGAGGGTGGCGATCCGCGGCCACTCGGCGTCCGCCGGTCTCCGGGTTCCCTGGCCTCGCCTGGGCGATTGTGAGCGCTCGGCCGGCGGAGGAAGAAGGCAGGGCCCTGGCCCCCGGGGTCTTGTCCTGCGCCTGAGCTCTGGCCCAGTCTCGCGGCCCACCCAGACCTGCGGCCCGCGAGTCCTTCCGGGAGACGCTGCCGTTGGAGGGGGCCGGCGTCCCTGAACGCGCGGCCATTCCTCTTCGGAGCACCTTGCCCTGGGCTCGGTCGGGAGTCCTCCACGCCCCTTGCGGTCGCAGGGGCTCTGGGGGTGGGGCTTCTGGACCTTCCTGGGACCCTCGGGCCCCTTGCTCTCTTGTGGGCCTTCCCGCCCGCTGGCCACCCTTTCTCCCAGACCCAGAAGTTGGGATGGGGCTCCACCCTCCCAGGCCCATGCACAGCCACCCACCACTTCCTGCACCCGGGCCCAGCCGCCATGCACTGTCTTGGGGGGCCACAGCTACCGGGAGCCTCCTTGGTTTCACCCAGGCCCCAATGTCCACTCCGGGCACAGGGTCAGTCCAGCCTGTCTCTGGCAGGTGCACACTGGACACCCCACGGGAAACCTGCAGCCTGGCCCAGGCCCACCCACCTGGATCAGGGTACTTAGTGGGCCACCCGTCACATAGATAATACTGGAATAATTGTCCAAGTGCCCATTCCCAAAAGGCCAAGTCTTGAACCCAGGCACTGGGTTTCCCTCCAAGAGCAGACAGGACTGAAGCATCACCTTCTCAGGCATCCTCACCTACACAGCCAAGCCTGTGTCCCATCCGTGAGCAGGGTAGCCCGAAGGTTCCCGTGGGCACACAGCAGTCCAGTTTGGGTGAGTGGCTTGCCGGCTTGAGGAGCCAAAGTGCCAGGCCTCAGCAGGCGAGGAACAGACCACCAGCTCCGAACGCTGCCCCGAACGCCGCCCCCGCTTGCAGACCCCCTTGCCCGTGGCTGATGTTGACTGTCAGAACCATGGAAGGCCTCCGGGGATACAGGCCCCGACCGTTGGCGACCAGCTTCGCTCTGGTGCTCCCCCAAAAATCCCTCTGGAGTGGTTCCGGGCCCCCTTTCGGCACCGAGTGCCGCAGGAGCTCGTCCCCGCCACGGGAAGTTGACCCCAGCAGAAGGTGGAGGCGGATCGTCAAGCTCCAGACAAGGGCCTCTTTCCGGAGGCCGGGGTCAGAGCCCTGGGGCCGCCTGTGCCCACCTCTGCCCGCGGACATCCGGGTGCGGTGTGGGGCGGAGAGGCCTCCTAGATGCCGGGGCCTCCGCACTGGCAAACCCCGCGGTTGCAGGCCACCCCAGTCCGTCCCCGGGGTTCCCTCGAAGCCACGGGCAACCGCCACGGGGGGCAAGCGCCGAATCCCGGCCCGGGTCGCTCTCCACGCCGGCCCTCTCCCTCCTCCGCTGTCCCGCTGCGCCTCCGCCGCTCGCTCGCTGGGCGCTGCCCGAGGCAGAAGGGGCGCAGCCGGGGGTCTAGGGCTCAGGCCTGTCGCCCGCGCCGACCCGGCGCCCCGCACCCGCCTTCCCGCAACTTGCAGCAGACGCGGCGGCCTCCCGAGACCCCACCGCCGGCAGCAAACTTTGTCCCCTCGGCGCAGGAGCGATCCTCGCAAAGTTTGCGCG